TGGTCTTAACCCCCCCCCCCCCAAGACGGCAGCCTGCCCCAAAACTGCGGCGTGCCTGGCTTTTTGGGGAAAAAAGCCTAAATACCTGACAGCAGCACCGCAAACCGAGGGCATCCCCCGCCAGCTACTCCTCTACACAAGGTGGACAATGAGAACAGAGCAGGCAGACCCCACAGCCAGCCCCAGCATGAGGTAGAATGTCATCACCACCCCCGCTGCCTCAGCCAGCTCTTTTGGCACGATCTTGGGGCCGTAGATGATGACCAGTGTCCCCAGGTAGCCGTTGCTCAGCCCCAGCAGTGCCGTGAAGACCACCGGGTAGACATCTTGGTTGAAGACCACCATCCAGATGTGAGCCCGAGGTTGGTAGTTGCTGAGGATGAAGAGAGGGAGGAAGATGGTCCTGAGGAGGACGAGGGCGGGCAGCAGCTTGCTCTTGGGGCCGGGTGCCTGGATCCAGGCAGTGATCTGCCTCCCACACCAGTCAGCGAAGTTGTACAGGAGGAAACTGGTGAGTGGCGCAAAGTACTTGGTGCTCCACAGGCTTCCTGAGGACTTGCTGACCGACTCGATGTTGGAAGAGAGAGAAGGGAAGATGATGATGGAGATGAAGAAGACATAGAAGAGGCAGAAGCCGAGGAGGGCAGTCTTCTGCAGGATGGGGCGGAGCGGGGGAATGCCAGTACTTTTTGCGAGGAAGGAGGTATTTGTGGTGCCTCCTGGCTCTGCCTCGTCCTCTGCGGAGCTGTTGGGTGGCACGGCGGACAGAGGTGGGCTCTCCTTCTGGCTGCTCATGTAATGCCTGGAAAAAGAGAAGGAGGGAGATTGTTAGCCAAGTGTGTTGGGGGGAACCCAAACTGAGATTTGGAGAGAGAGCAGGAGAGAAGTTGGTGACGCAGGGATGCCTGCTGGACCCAGGGAAGGTGGTTGCAGCGACCCCATTGCACCTCCAGCTCCCGCCTCGTATGGAAAGGTGACCCTCAGGGACCCACCACCCCCTCTTCCCCACCGTGGGGATCCCTTTACACCCTTGGTGGTTCACAGGGGGGACCTACTCCATGCAGGCATTTGGGGGGCCAGGTGGTTTTGGGGGTTGCAAGCACCAACAAGACCAATGGGTCATGCACATCAGTGCATGACATTGCAGATACTGACGCCCTACGGGGACCCACCTGGCTGGCTGCTTCCAGATTATGGCTCTCCGATGACTTCACGCATTTGGGAAGCCCCTGTGTCAGCACCCCTCTCCCCCTGGGGAGGCTTGCCAGAAACTCAGCATGTGCTGGGGCGGGCGCCCAGTTTCGGTCTGGGGTTTCGGTCAAATGGGGAAGTGTGGCCAGTGGTGGCACAGCACCAGAGCTGGAGCATGTGGGGTGGGATGCCGGGGCGTGACTGGGCAGGGACTGTCACAGCAAGCATCTCATGGGTCGCCCCAGCAAGCCCACTCGGCATCAACAGTAGCAAACCCTCCCGACCCATGCTTGTGGGATGCCCGTGGCACGCTGGTGCACACACCTGGAGTACTCCAGCCTGGGTAGGAGGAGGTACACCATGATGCAGATGATGATGAAGATGTCAGCGGTGAGGAAGTAGGCCAGGGCACTGTCCGTAACGTCAGCTGCTGCCGTCAGGTCTATCACGGAGGCGATGGCACTGATCGTGCCACCCATGGCCTGACCTGCATAGTGGACCAGAGAGCTGGAGCTCAGCACCCAGGGCACAGGTGAGGGACATCAAGGTGGCAGAGAGCAACCCACAGCACCTCCAGCAAGGAGGACTTTGATGCAGAGGGGGGACCCAAAAACAGCAGCATCCCCTTATTAACACCTCCTGGTGTGCACAAACCCCCCAGGGGAAGCAGCTCACCCCTCTGCCCCACACACTAGTCCCCAAACCCAGCTCAGGGTGCAGCTGCACACACCACCTCATCTCCATTTCTACGCCTCGCTGCAACAGTTATTTGTGGAGCTGCATCACAGCCCAGGTCCCATCCTGTATCCATTCCAACATAGCTGCAGCACTGCACAAGGGTCAGGATGGGACCGATCCACTGGGCTTGCATGTGCTGAGTCCTGCAGAGAAGGTCCAAACCCTGCCCAAAGCCTAAACCTGGCTTTCCACTGGCCCACATATAACTGCCGCTCTTCTGCACTCTGCCAGACAGGAATTCAAGCCACCAGCAACAGGTATGCCGTCTCGGGGATGCAGTGATTTCCCCCACTGGGCTAAACTCATTAAAACACTCCTGTCTCGGCCCCAGGAAAAATTTCTCTGTCTTGATTTTTTCCCCTTCCCCTCTTGGTTTGTCAGCCGTTCCACAGCACATTTATAACGTTATCAAACCTCCAGGGAGCTCATCACTCACGGCTCCCAACGTGCCCCTCATCACTCATGGAAATGCATGGAAATGCTGAACAGAAAGGAGGAGACAATGCAAAGTTGAAGATTCCTCCAGCTGCAACCAGGAGCTGAGGGATGCATCCCTTCCCCCCTTCTCCCGGCACAGAACAAATAACGAGGTCAAGCCATCGCACTGGCTGGAGCTGCTCTGCAGGGTGTTTGCCCCCTGGGCGGGGACAGTGCAGGACCACCGCTCTCCTCATCTCTGCTGAGCCCTCAGCACTTTGATTTATGGGTATTTACAGAAATGAAAGCACCGGCTCATGTGACCGAGCATGTTTCTCCTTCAGCAACTTCCCTTTATCTTTAAGGCAAAGTTAAGTTTCTAAAATAAACCCCATGTGATGAAACACCAGATGCAGGAGGGAAAGAGAACCAACCACCCAACCACAGAAAACCCAAGAGCATGATCCCACCGGGACGGCGTGGCTGGAGGACACCAACCCGAGATCAGCGCCTGCAAGTTCTTCATGGGGAAGTTGCTGCTCAGACCGAAGATGCTGCTGGTGAAGACGGTCGAGGCGCTGCTGACAATGACCATGCAGCCGACGGTGAGGGCAAAGAAGGGGGTGGTCCAGGCAGAGGTGTCGACCTTCACCAGCACCGTGATCACCAGGAAGACGGCCAGCATGATGAAGAGGGAGGACAAGATCCGGATGCTGGCGGGCACCCTGGGGACAAGGGGAAGGAGAGACTCCTGCGTTTAAAACTATAACGTGAAGGCGTGATGCAGAGGACACCAACTCCTCTGCTGCGAGAAGGATCAAAGAAAATAAAGAAAGGTGGGGGGAGATGAGGAATAAAAAGTAATGATTTTTCTCAGAAGCTGTTAGATGTTAACTCTGTGATTTCCACTTTTGCCATCAGTAGGACTAAGTCTATAACCCAAACGAGCTGTAAATACCCATTTCTCCCAGAAATCAGGAGCTATCCCCATCACTGGAGCAATGTACAGCAGCAGCGATAAAGCCTGCCTGGGAAACACGGCAGGCCGGGTGAAAGCAACCCCAGGCGCGTCGCTACAAGATAATTAGTTGTTTGAGCGTGGCGGTTGCTTATTACCCAGCCGGGAGACTGGATGGGCTGGCCTGGGGACAGGACAGAGGGGTGAGGGAGAGAGGCGGGGAGCCAGACCGGCAGCTGGGATCTAGAGATTAAGCACACAAACACATTCTTCTTCACCCGAAAATGTGCAGGAGTTTGATCTGGGATAAGGAACGGTACAAATGAGGGGAGGCAGCTATTTTAGATTTAAGTCAAGCTTGCAGCAAGGCACGGATGGTCCTTTTCTTAACCCAGTTCAATGGCTGGTAGGACTAGAGCAAGGCATTACTCCTGCCTGGACGAGCCTGCATCTTGTCGTCGGCTCCCCCGGTGACAACGATGGCATTTTTAGAAGGGAAGACCACATGCCTGCATACACAGACTTTCCTTCCCAAGCAATTAACCAAGGAATTTACCAGGAATTTATTTACAGCGGAACAACTCAAGCCAACTCCAGGCATGGGTGCTGCCGGTGGGGAGCAGGGTGCTTCACCCTGCTCGTGGGAGCCAGAGGACAGCACAGCTTTCCAGTACTTTATCTCCCCCTTTTAAAGCTTTTCCCCACTGGGTGTTTCAGGCTGAGCTGGGAGCCATGGCTGAAGCTGGAGAAAGGCAGGAGCGATGCAGGCAAAGCTGGGGAGAGCCATGGCTAATGGACCCGGGAACGGAGCAGCGCTTACTTATTGACGAGCAAGAAGTTTCCAATCAGGCACAGCAACGAGGGCACAGTCGAAGCGATGGAAATGTAACTCTCAAAAAAGTCCTGCCAGGAAAAAAAAACCAAAGAAAAAAAGGTAGGGGGGGAACAACATATGAATTTCAGGTCCTAAATATGGCACGATACAGCACACATGGGGAGTTATGATGTAGGTGTCCACCTCCTTGCATTGTAGCACATGTTGCAAAGCTGCTCAGGATGACAGGCAAAAGGAACGGGTGACGGAAACCGCCCCGGGGCTGTCTCACCCTGCAACAGCCCTGGGATATTTCAGAAAATTAGGGACATAACAAATTCAGAAGCAAAAACGGTGAAGGAAATACCTGCCTTACTGCTGCACTGGCCCCGCAGGGCAGCAACCAAAATAAGGAGGTCTGAATTTCTCCGACTGGCTCCGGTGACCTGGAGAAACCCCCTGAACATTTTACCCTACTTGAGCTCTGTGAGGGCTGTTTTTTATAAACTGGGACACCAAAGCATTAGTATTATTAGCTAACTGCTCAAAAGCCCAACCTGTGCATCCCTCTCCACGCGGAGTGACTGCGACACCACGCCTGAGAATGTGCTCGAGCAAAAGCAGCACGGGTGAGGACACGGACATTATTCTCCCTTCCGGCCTCCCTCTCTGCACGCACAAAACTCATTGAGAAACTATATTGAGACTCAACACACATTTACTCTGGGGACTCGTATATCATCTGAGCAAGTCGGCTGCAGCATCAGTCAATATTCAGCAGCCCGCCTCACACAGAGGTCAGGCTGGGCACGCAGAAAGCAATAACCACAGCAGAGTGAGAGATATTTCTCTGCCAAGATTGCAGCCAAACGCTTACATTTTCAATCCATTTTATGTATTATGCTGTTAAAGCGTGTCTGCTCCATCTCCTCCCCTCGAGGTGCTTAATCCCCTGTTTTTTCTCCGGGAATCTCAGCCAGCAGGTAGGACGATGCTTGCAAAGAGGATGACCTACATATCAACCCCCATCGTGATGGGCTTTCATTTTCTGCAGTTACCTAGCTACAGAGACGGGGCCACGTCGCGTCCGAGCACGAGAAGGCACTTGGCACATTTTCTCTGCACGTTACAGGGGTTTTTTGCAGCTTTGCATCGTAGTCTTTTAATCAGTTTACAAGCATGTTCATTTATTCTTAGCAGGAGCTTTACTATAAGCGATGGGAAATCTAACAATCGCTCCTAGAGGGTCCATATAGATGGAGACATAAATGCCTGCACTTAGCATCAGCTTGGCGAAGCAGGAGGTTCAAAGCTCTACAGCCATATGATGAATTATAGGAGAAAAGACAAAGCAAAATGCAAAGTTGGCTGCTAAAACTAAGACTTATTTATCAACCTACTTAAAACAAACCCCCAAACCAACCCAGGGATATTTAATATACTTCCAAGTTAATTTTCTTTTTCTTTTGGGGGGGAAAAAAGACTTTATAATGCTTTCCACCAAGCAGAAGTGTATCCACACTTGCAGCAATTCAGCAGAGATGCTGCGTTACAAGCACCCCAGGGAAACATTCACTTGTTCCCAACAAACGTGCTCACACCAGCGATGGGAAGAGAATTGGGGAAAGTATTTAAGAAACTGAGCAGCCTGCACTGCACTGGGAAATTTTACCCTGCCTTACCCATGGCCAAACCCTGCTGGAAAAGAAAAGCCAAGTAGAAGGGTTTCAACTGCTGTTGTTTCTGTGAAAAAGGAAAGCCCTCATGTCACATTTTTAATGCAGCAGCAGAATGGCGAGTGGCAAATTTAATCCATGCCCAGATCAAGGGAAAAATATCAGGTTCCATACTCATCTCACCTCTTTGCTCCTGCTTGTTAGGTGTTAATCCAGCTCAGATGGTAACTCTTCTCCCTGCATGGGTATTCCCACCCATCACAGACATGTTTTTGCAGCAAATTTTTGGCTATGCAACATATATCTAGTTCTTCTCCCTTTCTGCTGAGCCCTCCCTGACTGGCCGGCTCATCTCCTCCAGGCATCCCTTGCTCGCAAGGGCTGAGCTCCCCATCACTGACATGGTTTTAGAGGAGAAACGCAGGCACTGAAAGACTGCCACCCCTTTCTTGGCTAATAATAAATAATAGTAATAATAATCCACAAAGCAAACCCGACACCTTCCTCCCACCTCTGCCTCTGGTGGGGGAAGGTGTCATCCCTCAGCCATGGAGCCGAGGTGCGTAATGGAGGTGTTTGACCCTGTATTAACTACAGCATCTTCAAACACGCTGCCATAATGTACAGCACACACTCGGTACCTTAAAAAAACCCCAAACAAGAACAAAGCATCACGGTGGCAAATCAGTCACTGGTGTCAGCCGGCACTGCCTGGAGTTGCCGAGATGCTGTTGCAACGGAGTTTTTATTCTGCTCCAGTCCAGACTCGGCAGCTGGGCTCCTGCTGGGCTGGAAAAGCAATCCAGGCCCACAGTGGCGGCTGAAGGCACCAGAGCATTACCTGGAGCACGGGGCATGAAATTAGCAGCAGTGAGCAGGCTGGAGCCAAGAGTAGGCTGCCGGTTGCAGGTGCATCTTTCCGCAGTCGAGCTCTGTTTGCAGGTAAGCCCTCTTGCCACAGCACCGTGGCTTGCCATCCCAGGGCAGAAATGGGGCCAACTGGTTTATTTTTGATCAGACTCTGCAGCCACGGAAAAGCCAGGTTGCTTTTCACCAGATGAAGTAAAAAGCATTGTGCCACAGCCATAGAGAAAGAGGAAAAACACCTTTTCAACGAAGTAATGGGTGATCCAACCAGGAATACAGACATGCAAGAGTTTTTAGGAAGAATACACCTAGTGATACTTACTCTACCTGAAAACAGCTTTTCAAGAATTGCCTTGGATAAGCGTGACGTAGAAGCAATGAGGAGTGGGTGGGATACAGGGGATGTGGGAGGACATCGTGCCACATGGTGGCGGAGCACCCTTCGCCCCATCTCTGAGCACCTTGCTAGCACAGGGGCAGCCTATTTGTGGTCTTTGGGCACCACGGGGGTTGGTCTCCATCAGTTTAATCCACCCACTATCTCGATTTACACCAGCACACCGGTACTTCAGCATCCTGGTACAAGCACCGTCGGTGACACTCTGCGTCCTCCCCATCAAAAACGCAGCCAGCTTAACAACTATGAAGATTAAAACAGCCGTGGATGCCGTACTGGTGTGAGAAATCATAGAGAAAACAGGGGCGTCACACCTGGCTCTGTGTTTATATAAAAATAAAATGTGCCCAAACCACTTGAACAGGCTTGGCAACGGGAGGAGGACAGGATACAGCCTCATCACACCAACACTTTTTCCAGCCACAAAGAAATGGCATTGCTTTGTCAGGGGGGCACAGGGTAATAATCTTGCTGTGGCAGGAGGAGCAAGAGAAGGTGGCTTTTTTGGGGAGAAAAAGAGAGGCCATCAAGCCTGCCGCCCCAAGGCTGGCTCATTAATCGCCCCATGACAAGCTCCTCGTCCCATATGCCAAAAGCCAGATGTTTATCGCTGCAAGGAGATATTCTGGTCACACCTGCCAGATCTTGAAGGAAAAGCAGTAAAGCATCTGGGGGGCTCAAGACTATCACAAGCCATGCGCTCCAGGGCTGGTGCTCCTGCAAAGCCCTGCTGCCACCTCCAAATTACATGCTGCACCAGCCAGCGCAAGGGAGAAAATGCTTAAAACATGTTTGATGCCCTGCCATGGAAGCAGAAGTTCAGGGCAATTTATCTCCCAGCCTGCAGGAAGTTGCAGCTGAGTCCTGCTGGAAAAGCACAGAGCCCTGCGGGGCTTGGGGGCTCACCAAGCATGAAGTACAAAAACAACCACAAACAGATTTTTACCTTGTACCATAGAAACTGTCCTATGAAAGGCAGCCTTGCTTATGGGGCAGGTTAAGCCAATTTTTTTAAACGCACCTTAAACGTTAGCACTTCAAATACAGGTAAAAGACAGACCACAAAGCGCTACGCCTTTTAGTTTTAAGCATCTTTCTTGCTACTATTTGTGCTCCCCAAATAAACGCCTACCCCAAGTTTGCAGCAGGCAAAACTCCAGAGGACGTTCATTCACCTTCTGGGGAAGTGGAGCAGAAAAAGAGCAAGTAAGGAAGGAAAGCAGCTTTTTTTTCTGCCTTGAAAGCGGCACACTCACCCGCAGATCAGACGCTGCCTGTCCTGCCGGGCCTGCCTGATCTGAGCAGTTTTGCAGCTTGTACATCCAGTAGTGCTTTGCCGTGATGAAAAAATTCCAGGGCAGCAGGGACCCGATGCCCAGGAGGAAAAAAATAATGTAGGCCCCGTGTAAGCGGTCGTTTGGCTTTTGCTGGCTGTATCTGTTCACCAAGGGCTCCTCGATCAGGGGCTCCTCGTCCGGGGGAAAGATACCGGCTGCTGGGTGCATGGCGCTGGCACGCTGCAAAAAACAACCACCAAAAAAAGATATTATCACGTGAGGGGTGCAAACTGTTGCTCGCAAGCCGCTGTGTGTGGCTCCCTCCTCCTTTGGCCTGTGATCACACAGCAAACGCCAGATGAGTGAGCTGAACCGGCTTGGCACGGGGATGGCTGGCTCCCTGAAAAGCGTGGGAGAGGGGACCGAGACACAGCGGGGATGGGCATGCATGGATGGCAGCACCCATGTCTCCGTCCATAATTAATAATTAACCCGTCCCCTTGGCCTTGCAAAAGCAGGAAACCTCAGCACGAAGGAGGCTCCAAAAAAAAATTAACAGCTCACAAACTAACAACGCCATCAGGCTTTGCAGAGCGACCTGTAAACTAGTGTAACACCAGCAGGCTTTCTAAAATGACTTGTAAACTAATGCAACACCACCAGGCTCTGCAGACCGGCTTGTAAATTAATATAACATCATGAAGTCTTTGCAAAAATGACTCATAAACCAGCATAACATCATCGGGTTTTGGGCAATGACTTGTAAACGAAAGCAACACCAGCAGGCTTTGCGAAGCGAGTGTAAACTAACGCGGCAATACTGGGCTTTGCAAACCGACTCGTAAACGACTACAGCACCGTCAGCCTTTGCAAAGCGGCTTGTAAACTCTCGCCCAGTGGCGCCGGGGGAAGGGCCGAGCCAAGTGCAGGGGGAGAGGGAAATGCCGGAAATCAGGGATTTTGCAAAAAGCGTTCGATTTCAGGAGGGGGAAGCGCCGCATCCTCCAGGCATCCCTCCCTCCCTCCCTCCCTCCAGCCCTCC